CCCCCTTGTATCTATTCTTCGTAAAACCCGATTAAATCCTGAAAGATACTTTAAAGTTTCCACCAAGTTCACATTTTGGTGAAATCTAGGAAAGTCCGAAATGCCGCTTGATTAACCAAGATGGCCCATGGAATTTATGCAAAATTGAGCATTTTCAACAGGTCAGTACTGGCAGGTTGTAATTTACGCTTTGATCATTTCTCTTAGTTAAATATCATCTTGAAGTAATTACGTTTTGTCTACTTTTTGGCTGTTTGAAAAGTACAACTATATGACGTACAACCCAAATTTCAACTGATTTGAGACGGTCGTAACACTTCTAGTATACGAATATGTCGATAAATAAAAGGTTCTGAAAAAAAAAAACCTATGCTATTGACATACCATGTCTTAATGGGTAAATGGTTCACCAAAAGGTTCTTTTTGACCCAATAAAACAAAATTGGAATATTTGCTCCTGTCGTCAAGTTCTCCATATTTACCTGCAGTGGCTCTTAAATACGTTGACAGCTGGCGATGTACATCGAACGTAGTGTAAGTAGAAACAACTTTACTACTTTGTGTTGGCACGAATGGTGAGAGAAACACGGTAAATCGACTTTTGGACCTGCCTTTTACAGCAAAAAAGGTTAGAAGATTTCACAAATATCAGCTCTTTGTCTATTTCATCTTAATATTAAACAATACATGTGGCGCATGCTAAGATAGATGTCTAACCGTTAATTGAAATTTGACGACGGAAGGTCGAATGTTTGCATTTTTAACGTACTTTGAAAAGCTCTCGCGTCGCGCACAATCATTTGCCCGAAGATTTTTTTTTTTTTACAGGGATCTCAAGACCATCCTTCCACGATTCAACCAACCGAAACTTAATTAATTTTCCACGCTTGCCGCGAAGTTAAGAATTTTTCTGACTTTTACAGACAGGCGCTCTTTAACAATTAGATTATGAGCTGGAGATTTCTATCAGGCCTAAGGCCGAATCAACTATTTAACAACTAGATTCCATGTTGGCGTGGGTCTGTTGAGTAATGGATCACATATGACGTCAAAAGGTGGTACGAACAAAAAAAAGGCACACGAAGCGATAACCGAGTGTGTCACTGATGTGTGTCACTGATGAAAAGAGAAACTAAACAAGCAAAAACAAACACACAGCTAACCTAACTTAAAAAAGCTGATTCTAGTCTTCTGCGATCTCAGATACTACTGGAACCCAATATAACATATAAACCAACTAAGAGGGAGTAAAAGTTTACTTTCTGGCCGTTTTCATAACGTCAAACAGTTACTAAAACTGCCCCTAATAAGAAGAGAACCAATGAACAAAAACGTAAACCTGCACATAAAAATTGAAACGTGTCATTAAAATAAGAAAAACGTAGAAGTAAGCTTATTGTACCTCAAATATCTCGCAGATTTCGTGCATTTACCTTAACATTCTAATTACAGATATTTACAATTGCAACAACAGACTCTATGTCTTATTCATAAATAGTACCTTTACATTCAATGGGTTTTCCACTCTATTTTCCAGACTGTAAGCACGTTCTAGTTACATTCCGGCCCTCCCCTTCTTTCCTGCTCATGACAAATCCATCGTTACAGATAAACATGCATTTCGATCTGTAATCGTTGTTACAAAAGGGCTGTTTTAATAGACTGGCTCCTCGCGGGGTCTCCAATTCCGAACAGGTAACAGCTTTATTTAAAAAAATAAATAAATAAAAACTAGATTATGAGCTAGTAATTGATATCATAAAATAGGTACCGGCTTACTGTTTTAGCAGAATTCTAAACAATTTTTTTTTAAAAACAGTTTCCAGTTACTTCTCATCAAGTAGTAGCGGAGCCCCGTACCCATATAGGAATGAAAAGTAAACCCATGAATTGATTTTCTCATGGTTATCATGGCTAGCGGTATTGCTCGTGGGTGCGTACGCACGACGGCGACAAAGACGACGACGGAGTCGCGTAAGATGGCGGCCATACTCCAGCTAATAGGTTGACAGAGACGTGCACCTTCGGCTTGTAGCGGAGGGATGCCATTTTTCTTGGCGGGATTTTTAAAGAAAAACTTTAGCGGAGGTTGATCTAATGTTTTTTTTTTTTTTTTTTTTAAGATAGGGTTGCGCTGAAGCTATAAATCAAAGGAAACCTATGGCCAAACTCGTGGATTAATTAATCTAGAGATGAAACATATTGGTGAACTTCTAATTACTGGTGTATTATTAAATGCTGTTAAAAAAAGCCGGGTCGTCAACGAAGATTTTGAATCTCGCGCTCGGAAATTTGCTACGCGTCGGTTCTTGCAAACTTTTGTTCTAGAAACAAAAGAGTCTCAAAGCTGCAAACAATAAAAATGCCCACAAAAGGAAGTTAACCCCAGAGCCATTGTCTTACAAAGATTAAACATAAAGTTTGATATGTATGCAAGGTCGCACTTAACTCACAAAGCGTAGGTTTTTTTCGTTGGTTTTTTTTTTTTGCACACATATTACAAAGAAATACGTTCAGAATAGCTAGGGTGGCAACACTGCAGCAGAACATGGAGTGGTAAAGGCTAAGGGTTCTTGGGTCACAGAGGACACTCCTGCCCAACAAATCATAGAGTACTCTCCCCCCTCCCTTTCCCTCACACCCAGATCTTGATGTTGATCTGCCTGCTGGAAAAATTTCATGCATTCAAGTCGTACGAGCTCACAAACGTTTTTCATTGCATTTCATTCAAGGCTATAGGTAAGGTTTCTTATGACAGCACTTCGTTTCCAGTGTGGAACCGCTTGTCTCTATATATATTGCATGTAAAATACATCAAAATAAGTAGACTCTTTTACAAGCATTTTCACTGTTGATCCGAAAAATCGTTTGACCCATAAATATGTGTTCCAACAATAATAATAACAGTTTCATTGAAGTGTCAATGTTTTTAGTATTAACTACTAACTGGGGACAAGCTCACAGAGGTTTTATTTCCCTTTGTTTATCTTTTCAATCAGGAAGCAAAAGTGTAAACAAAAGACAGGATAAAAATCATTTAAGCTTATCAAAATCAAGTATCTGGTAATTTCTTTCCATGTTTATGTGCATTTCACATCCCACTTAGAGTTCAGAACAGTGTACTAAAATAATCAAGACAACTATAGAGAAGACAAGTTTAATCTAAACTTAACTCGATGCCGGTTGAACATAGACAACTCAACATGAAAAACTTAAGTGTTTAAACTGCAAAGCTGTGAACCATCGCCAGAAATTCGAGACATTTGAGCCTGCGGATTTAACAGCGGCAATTTGTTAAAAAATAAACAAAATGGCCGTCGCGAAAAGAAAGCAATCGGCGGTCGAAAATAAATTTGATGCAGTCACTTGCAAAAGCTCCAGGTAAGAAATCACTTGCTTTAGCTCTCTCCATTTCAACAATGCCTTGTGCGGTATTTTTGAACCTAGGTACGTTCCGGCTCTGTGTTTAAAAATATAGTGCGTGGACGACGTATTTTCCAAAATGTTTAGTTGAAAATTCGCTCTCAACTCTTCTCGTCACGTATAATTTTTAGACATGGCAATACACAAGGACAAGGAACAATTTCCCTCGAAAAAATCAAAATTTCCGCTGAACAAAGTGGTAAAAACCGCTGGGAAAAAAACAATGACTATGGGCTCATATACGGCCGATGAGAGGCAAAAGTGAAGCATACACAAAGTATATTTGGATTTAGTGGTGAAACCACTGATCTCAAATATCGTATTAACGTAAAAGTAGAGAAAAATATCTTTCAAGTGATGTCTTTTGGAGCAAAATTGGAGCATAGATGGCCGAAATATCGTAGTTCAAAGATAGCGAATTTTGGGATTTTACCGTGGATTGCTATGCGATGTTCACCGAAGGCGTTTTCTTCGTGGTTTTCAAAAGCAAAAAGGAAACATCGAAATTAGTCGTATGGAGCTGTGAGACCCAAGCTGAGTTATTTTAACATACATATTTTTCATTCCTGTATACAKATTTTTACGATCGTATTCGGTTTGACGATTATCGCTAATTATAAACTGTGAGTTTTTTTTCTGTCGATAATTCTCCCTTTACGCCTTGTAATTTTTCGAGTGAAAACATCTCGCAGAAAACCTTCGATATACTCGTAAAGTATAAATCGTACGACTGCAAATCTTCTTTTCTCTCTTTTGAGTATTTGTTTTCCCAATACATTTTCTGTTCTAAGTTACTCTTAAATATTTCGATCATAAAAAGTATTCAATATTCATTTTTCCGTTCTGTCTTTAAATGGCTTACTCGTTGTTTACGATCCTCTTCACTTGATTTCGATTTGGTTCGCTTGGATTTCCCTCCGGATTTCCTGAAATTGATTTCTCTTCTCCAATATCTTTCCATATTGTCGGAACCGACCCTGGCTGGATTTTACGTCTAAAGCCAGGCATGTATATTGGACGCTCAAAGACATTTCAAAGTGTTTAGAGCAGATCGCAAAATCACCGACAATATTAAAGTTTTGATAAATCTCACCCGCTTATCGTGCACGTTCTTTTAGCGCGGGACTACTGTGCAAAGTGACTCCAGTATTGAGATCAGCAATATTACTGCAACAATGCACAACAGATCTTTTTCGCAGCATTTTTTAACTCGACATTTACCTATTACTGGCAAAAAAAAAAACAAAAAACAAGACAAGAAACATGCGATTTAGTAGAGCTTATTAAAGGTTTTCGTTACGAACATGACGTCACTAAGCCCATGCCTCCTACTGCGCGGTAGGAACATGGCCGATAAATGGTGGTCGCAAAATTGCGAGAAATGCCGGGGGAAAAAAACGGACTTCCAGTGCTCGGGTCGAAAAACTGCTTGACCTGGTAACTATTCGCCACATAGACTTTCGAAAAATGTACAAACATAGAATTCGGAAGATTTCATCGAACTGGCACTTTAACATTCTAATTACAGATATTTACAATTGCAGCAAAAGATGCTATGTCCTATTTAAAAATAGTACCTGTACAGTTAATTGAGTTTCCACTCCATTGTCCAGATTGTAAGCACGTTCTAGTCACATTCCGGGCCTCCCCTTCTTTCCTCTTCATGACAAATCCATCTTTACAGGTAAACACGCATTTCGATCCGTACGTGTTGTTACACGAGGGCTGATTTATTAGATTGGCTCCATGCTGGGTATCCAAACGCCGACAGGTAACAGCTTTAATAAGAAATATTAGCAACTAGATTATGAGCTAGTAATTTATATCATGAAGTAAGTATATTGTTCTAGCAGAACTTTAAACAAATTTCTTTTAAATATTAATTTCCAGTTACTCCTCATCAAGTAGTATTAAATTTCACGCTTTAGCAAATATATCACGCGTAAATTGATCTGTGTGTTTGAAACTTAAAGCCGTTTGCGCAAGCTGATGAGGTCATTCGACAATTTTTAAGTTTTAAAGTCTAGTAACGGTCTGTTGCCTTTCTTTAGTCTTCTTGGGAATTGATCAATAGCCAACAATTTTTCTAAATCTTCCTCCTGTACGTACGAAGTACACGCAAGAACATTTCGCCATTTTGAAGACAACAACTATCCCCTGCACTTTAAGGCGGCTCAAAATACTTTTATGACGCAAGCGTAAATTGGATTCTAATATTGCGAGCGCGAGTTGTAAAAACCTAGGAAAGCCACGAAGCAATGTAAACAATATGGCGCGTCTGTGGTGTATTTTTCCTTCCTTTTTGAGTGCCTCTTAAGGGATCGTGGGCGAAAGCTTTTTGGGTGTTAATAATTTGCTTCAATCTATCAGGAATGTCTCTTCCTTGGTTACTTCCTTACTTTAGCGTTATATTTGCGTCACTTTCACTTGCAGCGACCGAGAAAAAATCTCATAAAAACGATCGTGGCTTCCCTCGCAAAATTCCACACGAATTTATGCGCCTAGCAAGAGTTGTTTTTTCATTTGCTCTGGGCAACTTACATACAGAATGTGTTAGCCTGCGTGGCTTGGAGGTTTAAGGATTTTTTAAAGAAATTTAAGTGCGAGCGCACAAAGCGGCGAAGCTGCGAGGAACCGACTGCCCGTATTACCCGCATTTTTTATTGCCGTCCCCTATTTCACATTTTGACAGGTGTTTTGGATTGTATTAACACAGCTAATCAGAGCATAGATTGTAATAAGAAACTTGGTAAGGAAAAGTCACTGTGATACTGTAGAGTCTATCAAACAAAACTATCCGAAGCGGTCTTTGCTCGATGGCGGCGCAGGGCAAAGCCTGCCATGATTAAGAGAGGAATCGAGAGAAGTGTAAACAATAATTGTAGACTTTGTTGTTGTCCGCCCAAGATCAAATTCAGAGAATTTAAACATTTTCTTGCAAAATCTTTTCAAGGTCTCTCTTAGCGTAAAGGATTTCAAAATGGCACTTTGTCAGAAATCTGACATTGGTCAAGAAATGGAAAGATTAGACACATCATCTGATCGAGTTTGCCATGCCTGTGCACGTAAAAAAAGACTAGGTTCACACTAGAAGAAATTTTTCCGGTTTCGTAAAAGTTTCCGGATTCATCAGTTTTAGACTGTTCGGATTAGTAGGGGTTTACACTGAAAGGATATTCGGATTCCTAACCGTTTACACACGACGATTACTCCGGGAACATTCACGATGGAATGGTTCAAAAGTCGACAACGAGAAACAAAATGCCTCCAAAAAAAAAAAACTAGAAGATCTGTTAGATCTTATAACCGCGCTTTTAAAATTTAACTGTTTTCTTAGTACTACAGTCGCAACGCAGTGCATATTCCAAAGCAATCTTT